GTACAGTTAGGTACACTAATATGGAAAAAATGGTCCAAAGATCCAAATAGCTTGGGCAGTAAATAACTTTTGTGAATCCATTTCTGTCCTAGCAGGTCGATCATGCTATTCGTTAGATCACCACCTATATTTCCAAGTGCAGTGACAAATATATACAAGATTAAGTGATTTAATAACTTAAATAAGTGTTAATATGCCCACCTTTAAATGTATTGTAGGAAATGTATCAGCACTTTTTTTCTTCTTGTTATAATGTTTTTTTTGTAAGTTATAAACTTATATATGCATTTGAACAACATTTGGGTTACCTAATCTTTTTTATCGAGTGAAACAATTTTTGATAGGTATGTTGGAATGGATTCCAAATGAAACGTGATGCAACTGGAGCTGTAAAGATTGAACTTATTCAAATGGCTAGTTTCTTCTAGGTTGCCCTGTTATTGATACTACAGATATTGTAGCAGACAACTCCAATTCAATATTTTTAGTTATGATATTATCTTTTTTTAGCTATAATTGGGATGTATTGTGTTCAGTTAACCTTAGACATGTTGATGTAAAAACTACCTATATTTGAATTATAAGAGTATTTTTTTTCATTCAGTTTCATAGTATTTATTGTGCTTGCCATTTACAGGAAGTTGAAATGCATGCTAGTTTAATTAATCAAATGATAAAATGTATAAGAATAAATGAAGAAAAATAAATACAAAGACTTCAAAGAAATAGGTGACGAAATACCTAATTCATCACATAATTTCAGGATTTGTGATATCTAGGTCGTCACAAACTGACTCAGAATTGACATTGGGCTTGAAAATATGTGAGGAATTAGGCGTCATGCATACTGAGAACTTGTGACGAATTACACACCTACTATAGGTGACGATTTTTGTGACGACCGAAATTTGTCACATATACCATTATGTGACGAATTTTTAGTATTTTGTGACACTTTGCCATGGTCACTAAGGCCCTATTTTCTTGTAGTGGACGTGGCGCGAAGGCTGCTACTTTGGGGGTAGCGAGACAAAATGGCACGAGCAAGCGGTCTAGTGTCCGAGCCAATTGGTCAGACGACGACTACTTCACTTATTAGATTAGTATTAGCTAACTTATCCATTTCACCGGCTAACTGAAGCTAGCCCATGCTAACATAAGGTTTTGATCATGGTTTCACAAAGAACAAGGCTCACTAGCTTCCACGAACCAATGACAGCGATCTTGCCGTTTCTGTGATTCCTAACGACATCCATCAACCCCATCTGACTCTCCTTCACCCCAGGACCAAACCCCAAGAAAAATCAAAGGTGTCGAAGCTTAGTTGGACGTCGATTCGACGTACACCCTTTCTAGGGTTTTCGGTGATCCGCATCAGCTTTCAGGTGGTTTTCGGCCGAATTGGACCTCGGCTTAGGAGTGAAAACTCTTCCCCTTGACTTGTTCTATCTTCCTATTTGGTGACGATTCGAGTTAGTCGAAAACTTGGGTTATTGTTTACCGAAACCATCGTGTGTGGGGACTCTGGCAAATTAAATTTTTGGACAATGACACGTCCTCATTGTCATGGGTCAGGTTCCAAGGTTCGTTTCAGTTTTTAATTCTCAAGAACCATAGGAACCCCACTGGACCGTCTATATTATTTTTTTTTTTTTCTTTAGCCTTTGTTTTATATGCCCAAACTAAAAATTTATATAAAAAAATTATCAAGCCCAAAAGCCAAACCCTTGGTAATTACCTCATCTCATCCATTCAACTATAGCCGTGAATTCACATTCCAGTTTTCATCCCCCTCTCTCCTCTCTTCTTTTCCTCATTTATCTTTAGCATTATGTACACTTTGATTTCATTTTAGGATGTACACTTTGTCTTGATATGAAGCTTTCCATCTTTTGATTTATAGTTGTATATAAACTTTCTATCTTCCAATCACAAATCTTGTAGATCTAGTAGTGGAAACTCAAATTTGCTTGAATTTGTGGTTTAAATATGTGTTTGGTATTGGAAGTAGATTCAAAAAAAAAAAAAAAGATTAAATTACATTTTGCCATCTCAAGTTTGAGTGCAATTGCAATCTCATACAACATCTTTAAAACATTTCAATATCATACATTTACTTATATTTCATTTCAATTTCATATAACCATTAGTCATTCTGTTAAATTGACTGTTAAATGATGACATGGTAATAGTAAATTTCACATTTGTACTGACATCGCTGCCAACTTTTGCCACGTGGACAAAATTAATAAATATATTTCAATTATTTAATATTTTAGTTAAATGGCGAAGATCAAGGGTGAGAAGAGACACATCGAAGGTACCACCTCAAAGATCATAGATGAAGATATTCTTCCCACCAACGAGATATTAAGTTTGAGATACAAGTGGTTTGTAGTTTAGTTAATTAAATATATTCGTTTATGCATATAAAGTTTTGTGTTTTAATTTTTCTCTCCTGTAATTTTGATGAATGCATAAACTTTCTAATTGTTTGCCCAAAAAACAAAAAAAAAAACAAGATTTAATGATTAGAAAGTCTAAAACTAGGATACTCCAAAGCACCATAAACATTTTGTTCCATTTTCTTATTTTTCATTTTTTTTAACTTTTCTTTAATTTATTCAAGACAAGTGAGTATAGTATCAAGATGAGTGAAAAATCAAATATTTAATCAAACTGACTAGTCACTTGTCCAATCATTCAATAAGATATAATCACCTTGTCATTTGCTTTCTACTTAGAGTTACGCGAACAAACATACGGACACGATATCTTCAACTAAATAATGAAATATGGATAGTATCAAGAACGTGTCTATACTGGATGGTTGAAGATGTCACGTGACCGGGGGCCGAGTCCAAGATTTTCTACAGAATAATTGGCATATTGCAACCTGGCCCTTCTTCAGGAATCTGAATTATAGAGTATATATTTATGTTTAATTCAGCCCGTACAATCATGGGTTTTCACTGGAGACTCAGAGAATATAACCATGAGTTCTAGTCTGGGCCATACTCAAATCCAAAAACTCTTTACTTAAATCAAACCAGCCCATTTAATCACCGAAGTTTTGAACATGGGCCTGACCAGCCCATTTGATCACCTTCTCCACAAATAATTTTTCTGTGTTACAAAAGACTTCGTAAATTTCCAATTTTATCTCTGGTTGTACTAACATCAAATTAAGATTCTTAATTTATTTTACAGCCAATCAAGGGCACGCAGATTTTTTTGAAGGCACAAAAGAAATAGAAGTTTGAGATTTATATGCTGTGAAAAAAACGTTGTTTTCAGAAGTATAGGTAGAATTGCTTTTGTTTTTTTGCTGCTTCCGATCCATGGTTTTGAAAAAACAAAAAAAAAAAAAAAAAAAAAAAAATTCATTTACCAAAAATAATTTTAACCCCAACTTTTCTAGAAAGCTGCTTTTGAAAAAATTTCGAGAATGTCGAACCAATCCTAAGCTTTTGGGTGCATTTTGGGAATCTTCTAGATTTTATAGTGGAGAATATGAGAAAGAAGTCAAATGATGAAGGAACAAAATTTAGGAATTTTGATATCTGAATACTTAACCACTAAGTTTAGTTGACATTAGGAGCCTATTTAGAAGAAATGATTCCAAATCTAGTGATTTAATTAACATTATGAGATTAAATTGCTTGTTTAAGCTATTACGACCCATATAGACAAAATTTTGAAAACAAAAGAAAATGAAAACAAATCCATAAGATGTTGTTTCTGAACAAAATCCATAAGATGTTGAACACATTATATTTTAAAAAGTGATTTTTACACATATTTTTCTCCTTTTACAGATCCTATATTATTTATGGTCACCAATAAGAATAAGCATGTTTATCAACATTTAACTAATAAATCAATCACCAACTTCCATATCCATTACACTATGTTTGGATGAGGGAAATAAACATAGAATTTTGGTAAAAGTCAGAATTTATAAATTGACAGGCACCAATTCTCTTGTTTGGATTCATAAACATAGAAATTTAGAATTTCCGCGTGGAAAAAAAACTTGGAATTTGGGACCTTCAAATTCCATGTAAATAGGTGTCATTTCTCAATTTCTATGATTGATAGTTTAAAAATAACAAATTATGTATTCAATTCCATTGTTCTTTCAGGTTAACCAAACAAGAAAATTTACAAATTCTAGAAAATAAAATCTCGTCATTTCAATTTCCGTCATTTTTAAATTCCTTAATAATTTTACATTTCTTCACCCAAACATAGTGTTAGTTTCCAAAACATTATCTACAAATTTAGTCTCCCTAATATTACTCTTTCAAATATATGCAAAACTATCTGCCACCGTTCCAACTAAACCATTAAATTAGGCATTCTTTGCATTGCTTAATAAATACAAAGAGAAAACACTGGGTTATTGGGGTCATGAACACCCATTGCTCCCAGTGTAGCTATTGTGTTGATATGCATCTTGGTGTGGGTTCTCGCATTCTTAGTTTCCACTATTGGTACGCATCTTGGTGTGGGTTATCCCAATGTAGCTCTATTGATATGCATCTCACTCCCAGTGTAGCTCCCTTCTCTTCTAATAATTAACAATTTAACTCACTACTAATGTTATTTGTCTACATTATATATATATGGCCACTGGATTAACTAAATCAAAGAAAATCAACGACAAAAAATGAACAAAGGTGTGCAAGAAGAGAAAATGAGCATGTAAGGATCATCGCCCTATATATAAATGTTTGCACCGAAAAATAGAAGTGATTCTCGCATTCTCAATTTCCGTCCCTACCCTACATCGTGGATTGTAATCTAACACGTGTAAGTGTTTAGACCATCCAACTCCAACACATGCCCAACAACAGCAGACACAAAAGGAAGTGACACAATACAAACAAGCAGTCATTGCAAATTATATACATTCATAATTTTATACACACACATAATCATAATTAACACCCCAAATTACATATATACCCTCTTCCTCCTCTCCCTCTGCCTCTCTGTTTTAGTCTACCCTTTTATTTTCTTTCCAAGCACATCCAAACTCCATATAAAAACCCCCTAAACCCCATTTGCATACACCTCTGAACTCCACATATGACTTCAGTTTGCATATCAAACTGCGTCAACGACGCACGTGACCCCCGCGTGCCGATCCGGGCCACTTACGTGAACCTCTACAAGTGGCCTGAGTCGGACGCGGAGTTTGTGCGCTCGGTGAGCTCCAATGGGCGGCGAACTGATCCCGCGCAGCGACATGGGCACCCGAGGGTGGTGGACAGCATTTCATGCAGGCAAATGTATCTCAGGAGCTACAAGTTTTCGAGGAAAGAGAGCGTGCCGGAGAAAACACAAAAGTGCTTTGGGAGAGTGAAGGAGAAAATGGCTGGAAATGACAATAGTAACGGGAATAAGTGTAAGAAGGGGAAGTGCAAAGTGGGAAGGAAAAAGAACGGTAGGTGTTTGGCTCTAAGGAAAGTGAAGGAGTTTTCATCTGCTGCTCTCTTTAGAATATTTCAGAGGTTGCTGTCTTGCTCTGCTAGTATAGATGTTGTGAATCATGATGATTAATTTACTTCTTGTTTTTTGTAATTTGTGTTTTTTGAAGGTTTTTTATTTTTATTTTGGTGTTTTAATTAAATTATAATCCAGAGATTGTTGCTGTTAATTTGCGTTTTGTTTATGTAATTAGTGTTAATATATAAATGCTGAGAGAAAATAGTAGCATATATATTTGGTTCTGCAATATTTTCTGCATTTATACGTTTTTGGTTTAGAAATTTGCATCTTTCTCGGTAAATGGTGTAGAATAATACTTAATCAGCGACTCAAAAGGAGGAGTTTAGGGCAGCGCGCGGTTGAAGCTCGATTAGTTAAGGACATTCATTTCTGCATTTTTAATCCGATCAGTTTTCGACTCCCCCTTCCCGAATGTCGTGTCAGGTGTACCAAAAGAAAAAACAGTTTAGGTTGCTAGCATTTAACAGGTACATAGCTTAGCTAACTACGGATATATTATAAAACATGTAAGACACATGTATGACTGCTGAAACATGCGTCAAAACAATAGAAAAGTTGACTGATTCGAACTTTATCCCAGTTAATTAATTTTGTTAAAGTATCGTTGAACTGCACAGGATTTAAATTTATAACACCTAATTCACCAAAATAAATAAATAATAGCAGGACCTGTTTTGAATCTGGGATGTGGATCCTCTCCGAGGCAGATCCTCCTGATCAGTGTTAGTGGACCATTGGATTTTTATCCAACGATTACAAATATGAAACTTTCTGAAAGTTATAATAATTATAACCGTTGGATAAAAATCCAACGATCCACTAACACTAATCAGGAGGATCCCGACCAATTGCCTCGAAGAGATTCCAAATCCTTGAATCTGAATGGTCATTCACAAAAAGTTTCAAGCTTTATTTTTTATTGGGTACTGAAAGGATTCGAGCTTTGATCAGTATTACAACCTGAAAATAAATATAATATATATAGGGATGTGCACATATTCTTTTTTACTTCTCACACATTTATTATTAATTTATGTCATTTGATCTTTTTCAATTCATTCGATTTGACGGTAAAATATTAAAAAGGTGTATATATATGGATTAAGACAAAAACTTCATGTTAAAATTTTGCTAATTGGCTTCTGTTGGGTTGAGGGATCATTTGGGTCAAAGTATATTGCTGTCTTAATAGGAAAAGCCTACCGTTACGGTTAAATTAACCTTTGATTTGGTGCCAACTGAAACATAGAAAAGGAACAATTCAACGTGCTGAATGACGAAAAATTATGTTCCTGTGTATGATATAACTATAATTCTTTTGTTGCAATTCAAAAGTTGTAAAACTCAACGCGTGACTTATTGCAATCCGACATTAAAGAAATAAGGTGGAGAATCTTACATATAATCAGATATCCCTCTCTTCCTACACGAAATGAGTGCCATAGCTCTTCGATCTTATATTATGAGATTGATCGGATGGGTAAATTCAGTATAATCTCAATATCCAACAGGATTAAACTGCGTTCAAATACTACAAAGAGCCAAAGTTAAAGTGATTAGTGAAGGTTTTCATGTCATGACCTCTATTAACAATTAAGTTATGGCATGTATAGTCATGCTCATGGGAATTATCAGAGACTAGAAGGCATGAATTAACAACACTAAAACGTGGGTAAATAAGACGGTTACATATATGTTTGAGTTTCTGTCAATCGTTAATGTATTGTGGATGATTGCTAGTTTGATGCATTGTAGATTAAACTTGTATAACACCTAAAAGCTATTCAAAAAACATTAGTGGCTGACAGTCATTCACGCGTATGTGAGTAGTTGTTGCTGGCACAACTCTAACAATAAAGAAACGAGATGTGCTATGTTACCAAATAATTTGCTATTTATGCTACTAAACTGTGAATCATGCTAGCCAGAAACATCAATATGTGAATTTGGCTGTTAATTACATAATCTCCCAAACTTGAAGGATTAGGGTTTGATCTTAACGAAGTTGATGTGATAGCTAAGGAGTGAGAGTGAGGAAATAACAAAGTGACAAGTTGGGGGACAATGAAAAAAGGAGAGAGAAAGATATAATGATAATGGCCACCAAACACATTGGCAATTTTGTTGGTGAAACTTTCACTCTAAGCATGTCCTTAATCACATGTCCTAATCAATACGCCTGCAGCTAATACTTGATGATCCCTTATGGTCCTCATCAACATCCGAAAAAGTACCGAAAAACTGAGACTTATAAACTTGTAATAATTATTTTATTTTTATTTATGTATACATGATATTCGGAGTTGGAGATTTAGGCTATGTAGCACAATGGGCAACCATAATTTAATATGAAGTTTGTCATTTCAAAGATGTTAAACTTAAGAGAAATATCAGTAGACTGTAACAGTGACAAAAATGACTTATTCAGAAGCCAAAGTGGATGATCGGTTAGTTTATATATTTTGATCAATCTTGCATATAAAGTTTTCTCACATCTCTCATGACTTATGTTTCTTTTTCTTTTTTTTTTTTTTTTTATTTTGCTTCGTATTGTATGTATGCTTTTTTAAATACACGCGTTATTACTACTTTAACTTACACTAGGCAAGTGAGAAGGGTTTGAACTTGGAATGCAATTGGTTAAAAAAGAAAGCTCTGACCATCAAAACAATCCACCACTTATTAGTGTATGCATGTTAAATCTTCTGTTTCAACAAAATTGAGATATGCAAATGACTTCTAGTGTATTTGGATGGTTATGGGTTTATTTTATAAACCTTTTACTAGTAAACGGATTTCTTATGCTAGGATGACTTACTATATTTACCATTTTGTAGTTAGGGACTTTATTTTCAATTTACTACGTCTTAGATTCAAATCCTATTTTCTCATCTTAGCATAGAATATTTGATTATATTTTCCACCTTCTGTGTTTTAGGTGATTTTCAAAATGAATCACATGGTTTTAATTTTCTGATACGGTAGATTCTAAAATCATAACAACTTATGTTTCCTATTTATTTGGCTGTATGATAATTTGTAAATTTTTGTTTTGTCCAATGTGAGACCCTATATAGGATTCAGAGAAGTAGCACTTCCGTACATGTGATTGGTTTTCGTTTTGGATTATGAATCAATTATTGAGGAGATGTTGAAGCTCCGTGATGACTAGTTTTGGTTCATATGGTGCAAATGTGGCTTCTATATCAATTGAAATAGGGTCAAGTACAAAAAACTACCTCAACTATTGATGTCATGACACTTTCATACCTCATCTTTTAAAATTGATAATGTCATACCTCATCTTACGAATTTGTGCCAATATTATACATTCCATTAGCCTACCGTTAATTTCTGAGTTAAATGCTAACGTGAGTTGATCCAGACCCCACTTTCTATTAAAAAATTAAAAAAACTAAAACAAAAGTTAAAAACAAAACAGCAAAACCTTTTGTCCCTTCCTCCCCATCTTCATCTTCTTCCCTGCTTAATCTTTAACAAAAAAAAAAAAAAAAAAATTGAAAACCCATCAACTAAGAAGAAGAAGAAGAAGGAAGGAAGGAGGAGAAGAAGAAGAAGAATAAAAACCCAACCCAGTTCGTCCCCCCCCCCCTCAAAAAAAAAATAAAAACAAATCCAACCCCATGCAACCCAAAAAGGAGAAGAAGGAGGAGGAAGAAGAAGAATAAAAAAACCCGGATCCCGTTGCCATGCCAATTCCGTGAGTGGAGAACCTGGGCACAGAGAAAATGGGGGGAATGGATGTGGATTTAAAGAGTGGGGTGTGTAGAGGAGGGAAGAGGGTGGGTGCGGGGGAAAACAATTGATTCTTTTTTTTTTCTTTTCTTTTTTCTAGGTTGCAGCAGATAGGGGGAAGAAGAGGAAAGAAAATGAAGATGGGGGAGAAGGGACAAAGTTTTGTGAATTTTTTTTCTTTCTTTTTCCTGGGGTTGCAGCAGGTAGGAAAAAGAGGAAATGAGATGAAGATGGGGGAGAAGAGAGAGGGCGCGCGGGGGGAGGGGGGTGGGGGAAGTTTTGTTTGTTTTTTTTTCTTTTTTCTGGGTTGCAGCAAATAGGGGGAAGAAGAGGAAAGAAGATGAAGATGGGGGAGAAGAGAAAGGGCGCCTGTGGGGGGGGGGGGGGGGAAGACAAAGTTTTGTTTTGTTTTTTTCCTTTTTTCTGGGTTGCAGCAGGTAGGAAGATAAGGAGGGGAGATGGAGATAAGGGAGAAGAGAGGGCGAGCAGAGGGGAAGTTTTGTTTGGTTTTTTTTTTTTTTTTTAACTTTTGTTTATTATTTTAATTTTTTTTAGTTTATAAATTTTTAATAGAAAGTGGGTCCCAAATCAAGCCACGTCAGCATTTAACTGATAAATTAACAGAAAAACTGACGGAGGTATGATATTGGCACAAATTCGTAAAATGAGGTATGACATTGTCATTTTAAAAAGTTGAGGTATGAAAGTGTCGTGAGACCAATAGATGATGTATGAGAGTGTCGTGAGTTCCATGCTTGTCACATCTTTAATTTAATTAAGGAACAAATAACTTAACTTGGCAGAAGCCATTAATTGATATGATTTTAAAACTTCATGGTGCAATATTGAGAAAATTAAAAACTCGTGCCCCATTTTAAAAATCTCTCCAAACTTAAAAGGTGTAAAATGCAGTTAGCTTGTTTTCATATTCTTAGTTCCGATTGCTCCATAGTCCATACTTTGATATCTTAATTCAGTTTATGTCGTGATAGTCCTCAATCATTTGTTAATACTGTACTTTTGTGTTTGATAATGAGGAATTAAAAGATGTCCATGGTTTGGAACTATGATTAAATGATATATTTTTTTTATTTCAGTCCGGTTGGGATTATCGAACGAATGAAAATGTGAGACCGATTTCCATACCAAAATTTCGGGATCAGTTCGAGATTGAGTACTGAAATTTTTGGGATTTTTGGTTTAGGATTTTTTCGGTTTGGTTTCGGGATTTTTTCAGTTCGATTCGGAATTTTCGGTATTAATGAGACAAGAACGCCGAGAATTTCTTTTACGTGGTAAAACCCCACACACAATGGGGAAAATCCACGAGCACACTGCCCATTAAAGAATTTACTAAGAAAAAGCCAAGAAGTACAAAACTTATACAAGACAACTTACTAGACACCGACTAGGAGATTGCATTGCTCTCTTGTCTTCATACTTGCTTCTCTTT